ATTAATTAGGAGGCAAATCAGTGACACTTTGATAGAAATTTCATGGTAGCTGTTTTAGAAACTTTTGAGTGCAAGCTAAGTCTGCTCTTGCATGGCAACAAATGTGTCTTCCCATAAAACTAGGAAGGACATTTTTGCTTTTATTTAAGGTTTACAATAATTGGAGACCTTTCAATTCTATGTAGACACACAGAGGTGGAGCCAGAAAGTGTGATTAAATGGCCATTAGTCATTACAAGGGGTGCTGTTTCTCTGAACAGCAGAGGGCTGGGGTATGTGCAGAGTGGATTGATAACTAGTCTGTTTCCTGTCTCCTCACTGTACAAGAAGGGGAAAGGCCATGCGTGTTATTCCTTGAATTGTAAAGGATACCTAAAAGAGGACACACTCATTATTAGAAAGTAATGGCCTATGCTTCTCAGACTAGCAATGAAATTATAATCTTAAGACCTTGCTTCTGGTAGTAGTAGAACCAGGACCAGAATCTAGAGCTTGAGTTCAGTGTGTTTTACCTCACCCATTATAGAAAAGCAGTGAATTCCAAGTATCAACTTTGCAACTTTAGGTGTACCTTTTAATGGCTCTAAGCTTTGATTTCTTTATTTTTAAGCTGCGGTAGTAAGCTTAGCTATCGAGCTTATGTTAAAGTAGGGAATTGCTGCTGGTCCTAATCATAATATCCCTCTTCCCGTTTCAGTCATCTTGCTGCTGTGGCACATAAAACACTGCAAATAAAAGACCGTCCTCCTGAAGTAGCCGGGGTATGTTATGTTGAGTGTTTCCTGTTTAATCTCTAGCATCCTACCTAATAGTACCAGTTTTGTCAATTTTTCTGAAGGAGCACTGTGTTGTTCCACTTCAGCACTGTACTTTCTGACTCAGTAATTAAGAGTTGGGCTGTAACAGTCGGGGTGTGTGTAGGTGTGTGTGTGTGTGTGCCCACTAGACTGTGGAACTCATTTTCTTACATCAGATCTTACAGTGCTAGATTCCTCTTATCTGAAGCCGTATGGTATGACTCTGTCAACACCACTCCTCAACCCCATGTAGACCAGTGTTACGGTAATGGATGTTAGGAATATATCTTCCCTTGCCTGCATTAAATTCTGAGGCACTCTGAGATATTCTTTTTTTAATTAGAAGAAAATATTAGAATTACTTTAAAAAACATTCTTATTTGTGTATATCTACCTTGTTACTGAATTAAACAGTCATTTTTTCATTTGTGTTATAGGCCAGACTTCATCTTTTTAGAGCTGTCCGTTCTGTCCTAGCCAATGGAATGAAACTTCTTGGAATAACACCTGTACCTCGGATGTAATTTCTAATTATGGTGGCTTTAAAAATGCTAAATGAATTCTAGTTATTTCTTAGATACTTTGCTATTCAAAATAAGATTTAAACTATTATTCTGTGTCAGAATCTAAATTTTATTAAATCTAAGTGATTTATCAACTTAAGTTTTTATCCTTAAAAAGAAAATCTGAATTTCATTATGGTCAATTTAAAAAAAAAACCACTGTCAAGTCAGCCGCCACTCCTGGCCGTGCTGCGCGTGAATGTAGGACTCTGCTCACCGGGCTTTTCCAGGCTGTGACCTTTGAGAAGCAGATCACCAGTCCTTTCTTCTGAGGCACCTCTGGGTGGTTTCAAACCACCAACCATTTTTTAGTAGTCATTCACTTAACCATTTACACCACCCAGGAGCTCTGGTAGCATAGTGCCTAAGGCACTTGACTGCTAACCAGAAGGCTGGTGGTTCAAACCCACCAGCCACTCCTCAGAAGGAAGGTTGGGCACTCTACTTCCATATTTATACTGCCTCAGAAACCCAAGGAGAGGTCTCTGAGTCGGGTCTGACTCAACAGCAAATAACAACAACAACAACAGGACTTCACATGGTCAATAACTAGTAAATAAACATTAAGTAAAATTAAGTATTTTTCAATTCAAAGCACTGTAGTCTTATGGGGTAAAGGATTAAAGGTTAACCTCTGGCTTGAGGTTTCTTACAGTGATTCTCCTAGAAACTGTTCTTATAACAAAGATCATCTAACTTTTTTATGAAATAAAATAATTGATGAGGGAAAATCTTAATTTTCTTATACTTGTGGCTAATTCTGAATATGTTAATAAGACCAAAATAAGCATCTGTTTGTCAGTGTAGCCAGTAGCTACCCCAAGAGTACAGATCTCATGCATACCTTTTAGTTGATGTATACATGTGTCCCTTACTGTATGAATTCAGGAACTAAATACATTTGAATAGCAAGGAATTACTTGTACAGACATTGTATTAGGAGCCTTTCCCAAAAATGAGTCCATCGGTTAAACCATAATCTGAAATGGAGTTTCTCAAAACAATTTCCTTCATGTACCTACATATTGGGAATGTACTTTGTGTAACTTGTTTGGTTAACATGAGTAGGATGTGATCCATTTGATCAGTACAGCCATCCTCATTTGCCGGTATTCCCATTCAGTCTGCTATAATTTTTTTAAATGATGCTACTAGAAGCTTTCTGAATATACCAACAATCTATCTTTACAAATAGAGAAGAAAATTAGCTTGAACCAAAGCTTCTCTAGTTAGAATGAACACTGCTTTTTACATCGGCCAGTATGGTTAACTATCTCGGTCCTAAAATGACTCATCCATTCATTCTCAGTTTTAAGTGTTTAAGTTTTAAGTGTTTAAGTTTTAAGCTTTCAGATTGCTAATTTTCTGCTTCAAGTAACATTAATATTCCCTTAGCACAAACCAGTCATGGATTAAAAATGTACATTTGGGACATGTCTTACAAGTCCAAGTCTGATACCACCCCACTTCTGAGAAACTTTCTCCTCCCCAATCAGTAATAAGCCTCATGAGCACTTGAATCTTGAGTAAAATGATGTAGGGGCAGTACTGGTTAGAGCCAAATCTTTCTAAAAGCAGCCCCCTGAAAGGACTGTTCATTGATTTGTGTAACTAATAGCCCCACAGCTCTGATTGCTGTCCTTCCTATAAATTCCTTTTTTAAGGGTAGTCAGAGTTGGTTTTGCAACCAAAGAACCCTAACAGATGGTACAATCCAACATAAAAAAAATAAAAATTGTAATGTTTTGAGTGAGTTTTTTGTTCTGTTGTTTTTAAATTATCCACTTCTAAGAAACTTTCCCTCCCCAATCAGTGATAAGCCTCATGAGCATTTGAATATGAATATGAATATGAATATGAATATGAAGCCTCATGAGCACTGAGTAAAATGATGCAGGGACCGTACTGGTTAGAACCAAGTCTTTCTAAAAGCTGCCTCCTGAAAGCACTGTTCATTAATTTGTACAACCAACAGCCCCACAGCTCTGATTCCTGTCTTTCCTATAAATTCCTTTTTTAAGGATAGTCAGAGTTGGTTTTGCAACCAAAGAACCCTAACAGATGATACAATCCACCATAAAGAAAATAAAAAATGTAATGTTTTGAGCTTTTTGTTTGTTTTTAAATGGTCATATCTATAATATAAAAAGTATTTAAATAGAATTCATACAAATAAATTAAGTTTATTGCTCAATTTCCCATTAACATTATAGAAATCTTTTTTAAAAACACTGAAATTTCACAAATTATTGAGAACCCAACAGTTAAACATACTTTATTAAAAAAAGTACAAAAGTGGCATTAAAAGGTTTTTTTAAGTATATCGTCTAACTGTAATGAAATATGAATCCAGACAATGCATGGCACAAAGATAGCACTAAAGGAGTACTCAAGTCACCACCACGAAATCATTGTCTGCGTTATGAAACAGATTCATTTTGAGAAAAAGTTACACATTCAGTTTGTTTCTGAACTAGCCTGTCTTATCTGTGCCTCTTTTGTAAGAGAACTTGGTCTTTACTGCTGCCGGACAAAACACTGTCCATGAACGGAGAACAAGGAGGGATCACCCCTCTTCCCTAGTACCTGAACAAAAGAACAGTTAGTACAGAAATGGCTTTGGCACTTTAACTCTTAAACATTGTTCCAGTCCACTTGTATCCTCACATGATTTTTTTAATACCACATTAGCTCCATACTTTTTATGTACATTATATATACAATAATAAAATTCCTTCATTCAAAAACAAAAGTTTGACCCCCAACAGGTCTACATTAGCAATTAACTCAAGTGTAGCTTCCTTCTTAATTTTTATGCCATACAATTAATTTTTTGTTTTTGTTTGTTTAAGCTACCCTCTGGGATAGATTTAAGGCTCTAGTTTAATGCAAATGTTTTAGTCTTAGTAGGACCCTCTCTTGAGAGTGAAATCACACACCACTGACTCTCTCTTTTGAAGCTGTATCTCCTTCGTGGATGGACGTGGTGTCTTGTCTGGGTAATCCATAAAGGTATATAGACACGCATACGAGAAAGGTGCCCAGAGCAAAGGTGAGTGCTAGAAAGGAAAAAACAAAGTTTAATCTATATTTGTATCTCTCAAACTCTGTAACAATGGTCAGTTTAACATACTACCAGCTCATATGGGAAATAAAGCAAGCTAAGTGTTCTACTTTTATGATGGCAAGTTTAGAAAGGCCATCAATTCTACAAAAAAAAAAAAGGATATAATTCAGGGAGTGACAATCGGACCACTCTAACATAAAGAATATACTGTCTTCCTGTATGCTGATTTTAAAAAAGAAAAAAAAGCAGTAGAGTGTGGGTTTTCCATGTTCCTAGAAACCTGTGAAAGTCTGGAGTGAAAGATAGTTGAGCAAACTTCAGAGGCAGATGACCAGAGATTCAAACCACTGACTTACAGAATCTGAGATGTGGGGATTTCTTGCTAGCCTGGGCTCTTTTCATCTTAATCCCAAAAATCAGGAAACAAGAAATTGAATTACAGTTTGTCCAAACATGACAAATAGTCATGTAAATAAATGCTTGTATAAAAATCTTGCCAAAACTGTTCTGTTCAAAACTATTCTATTCAAAACTGAACCATATTCTATTTGGCCTACAGTAGCATAGTCTTAATAGCTTTAAAAACAGTATGCAGAGAAATGACATCAAGCTATGATATTAGCGTACCCTTAACTAGGAAAGACCAGGTTTGCTTTCAAAGAAAAAAAAAAAGGGTGATTTAAATCTAAATAGAAAACTGAAAGATTGCTAAGGCATACTAATTAATTTCCTTGACCATCGGTAAGAGAGAACATTGACCAAAAGGCATTTTATACTATTCCTAAGCATTAGGTAAAGGAGCAAAGGCATAGGGGATTTGTTGAGCATAAGGATGAATCAGAACTATAAAGTCAATCAAATAAAAAAAAAATCTAATGGAGGGCCTATAGATACCTAATACTGAAATTGTACATAATTGGCTTTATACAAAACACTATTCTAAGCCCCCTGCCTAAAAAGAACCCCCTACCTAGGAAGTAGGTGATACTCCCATTTTACAAATGAATAAACTGACAGAGGTTAAGTAACTTCCCAAAGTTGTACAGCTAATAAATGGTACAACCAAGAGATTTGAACTACACTATAAAATGGTTTTCTAGGATATCTACAAAGCTGGTGTTCCTCTATTCGCATTTATAACAACAGTTTTAAAATGAAATATAAATATAGGCCACACCTGTTTCTTTTATTTACTGTAGATAGTCCTCACACATTAGTTGATGGTCTATTAACTGATCAGTAACTCATTGCTGTGGAGTCGGATCCGACTCATATTGTCCCCTCCTAGGGTTTCCAAGGCAGTATCACTACAGAAGTAGATCTCCCAACCTTCCTTCCGAGGAGTGGCTGGTGGGTTTGAACCACTCTCTTTCTGGTTAGCAGTCAAAAGCCTTAGGCACTACACCACCAGAGATCCTAAACACTCACTGCTGTGGAGTTGGACCCGACTCATAGTGATCCCTCCTTGGGTTTCTGAGGCGGTATAACTACGGAACTAGATCACCCAACCTTCCTTCTGAGGAGTGGTTGGTGAGTTTGAACTGCCAGGCTTCTGGTTAGCAGTCAAGTGCCTTAGGCAAGAAAATTATTACAGCATAAAGATACGTTAATTCAACATCACTGTTTAAATAATTCAGAACCCAACTTAATGCTGGATATGAGCTAGAGAAAATTATACTGGAAGGACTAGCGTAGTAGTGGTGTCAGAATGCCAGGTCCAGTAATGAATTTTATGCAAATGTTTCATGTAATAGATAACTAATATAAAAGATAAAGGAAAGCCGACATTTGGATTTAAGTTTCAAAACCAATTTGTCCCCAAGTCTTAGAAAGTTAGGAAGGTACAAACTAATGGGGAGATGAAAGATATCTTCTGCTCTTTCCTTCAACCAAAAAGCCTGCTGAAAGTATTCATTTCCCAGAGTTCCTATGTTTATTTCCTTAAGTTTAGTACTAATTTTGCCCTGAATCACTCAGTTGTACTGTATCTAATACCTAGGGAGCAGGAAGGCCTTGATTGCAAAAAAGCTGTTTTGAGACTTGAGTACCCCCTCACTTTTACATAGAACCAGCACCCCCCAGCTTCAGCTCTACAACCATTTAAAGAACCAAGTACTGCTTATTCACACTGCACATAGCTCTAAACTGTTGCACTTGTAGAATAAACTGTAGTAACAAAGCTAGGAATTTCTATAAAACACTGTGATCAACTACCATTGTTAGTAAGAGATTAAATGAATCAAGGAAGTGAGGCTTTTCTGTGTATAATTTAACAATACAAACGAAGACATACTTATCTGTAATCCAAACAGCATCACTGAAGCAACGGTGGAAAGGACAATGGCTGCTGCTGCAGAAAAGCCTTTCATGATGTTGTCTGTGTATTTGACCACAACAGAAGTATAAAGGCCTCCAACGCTTGCAAGAACTTGCATATAGAAAGAAATAAAACCTTAAGATTCCAATAAATGAAACAATTTTCATTCCTAGAGCAGACATACTAATTTACATAGAAAATATTCTTTTCCTTGAAAGCAGCCATCTAGGAGAGTTTGTATTAAAATTGAGTTGTAGTTCTTGCATAACAACATTGCATTTCAGATGCCCAAAGGGCTATGTGGTTTCTTACTAAATTGTACACATTTATTGCTAACACATTAGATACTTTTGATTGTGAAGGCAAAATTGCTTTGGGATAGCTATGCCACAGAAGTAAGCCAATAAAGCCAAATTAACATTTTCAAACTGGTATTCACCATATCAAAGAAACAATTTCAAAATGCTTCAAAGGCTTAAAATGGATATCTAATTTGAAGGGGAGAAAAAAAAAGGAAGGGGGAGACATCTACCCACAGCCTTTAATTCCTAGATACTTACAGATGACAAACCAGACAGAATATGTGTAACCATAGAAAAATCCTTTTTCTTTAATTTCATCTCCATCTGACAAGTAGACGCCAACTAATGTCACAACAATCCCTGAGAGATACATCTGAATGTTTCTCACCCAAAGGGAAGTGTCTGAACTCTTTAAAACTTTTTCAAAATATACTCCTAAAATAAAATTAGATATGTAAAGAGAATTAAATTATTAGAAAATAGATGTTTTTCCACTTAGCACAATAACCTAGCGATATACAAAGTGTATGATTTAGGGAACAAACGTACTTTAGGTTAATTAAATATAAATTTATTATGTAGGCTGTGACACATGGCATAACTGAATATTTCCAATTTGCATTTTTAAGGTGTTATAGAGTAAATAATTAAGAGAATTTTTTATAAGTCATATTTCACAGGAGACAGATTATTTTCAAGAACAGTCTGCCTGTATTATAACTGTAAGATCACAGAAGCTCTCTGTACTACTACTTAATGCCAATAAAAAATTTGCTTTGGTTAGCTGGAAAACTATACTATTAGAGTGAATTATCTTAATCATACCCCTGTACTATGTGTCTAGTAATGAATACTCCTAACTTTGCAAAATAAACTTCATAATCACCACTTGGAACTTCTTCAGAGCAAATAACACAACCAAAATAAAATTTAAATAGAACTTGCTGATTGAGGCATTTTCCTTTAATGCAGGGTTCCAAAAGCCAAGTTCATGTAGTTTCAGAAGGGCTATGAACTCCCTAGTTTTAGAAGGGCTATGAACTCCCTAACTAGAAAATCAATTTTGCATGTATATGCATTTTTCTGAGGTTGAGAGTCCATAGCTTTCCTCATATACTCCAAAGAATGTATAATCTCCCCAAAAATGCCATAAGCCATTGCTGTAAGCTTCTGGTTATACTCATATTTACAATGAATGCATGTTTAACAAAGACATTAAAGATTTTAGTTAAAAACACTGTTAAGTATAGGCTTAGGAACTGTCTCTAAAATACTAATGAACTGAAAAGTCTAATGAAAAACAAGATTGTTTTGACTGGAAAGAGTCAGAAAACGACAACAAATACAATGCTGTAGTTGCTAGGTACCGTAGAGTCGTCTCCAACTCACAGCAACCATATGTACAACAGAACAAAACACTGCCCAGTCCTGTGCCACCTCATAATCCTTGCTATACCTCAGCCCGTCATTGCAGCGACTGTGTCAATCCATCTCATTGAGGGCCTTACCCTTTTTTGTTGACCCTCCACTTTACCAAGCATGATATCATTCTCCAGCTAATGGTCCCATCTGATGACATGACCAAAGTAGGTGAGATGAAGTCTGGCCATTCTCATTTCCAAAGAGCATTCCAGCTGCACTTCCTCCAGGACAGATTTGTTAGTTCTTTTTAGCAGTCCATAGTACTTTCAGTATTCTTCGCCAGCACCACAACTCAAAAGCAAAGACTCTTCTTCTGTCTTCCTTATTCATTGTCCAGCTCTCATATGCATATGAAGTGACTGAAAATACCGTGGCTTGGTTGCACCTTAGTCTTCAAGGAGACATGATTGCTCTTCAGAACTCGAAGGAGGTATTTTGCATCAGATTTGCCCAATGCAATATGTCATCTGATGTCTTGACTACTGCTTCCATTGGTGTTGATTGTAGAACCAAGTAATATGAAGTTTTTGACAACTTCAATCTTTTCTCCATTTATCGTGATGCTGCCTACTGGTCCAGTGATAAGGATTTTTGTTTTCTTTATATTAAGGTGTAATCCATACTGCAGACTGTAGTCTTCAGTTTTCATAAGTAAGTGCTTCAAGGCACTTTCAGCAAGCAAAGTTGTGTTATCTGCATATCGCAGGTTGTTAACGAGTCTTCCTCCAATCCTGATGCCACATTCTTCAAATACTCCAGCTTCTCAGATTATTTGCTCAGCATACAGATTGAGTAAGTATGGTGAAAAGATACACACTCCCTTCCAGATTTTAAACCATGCAATATTCCCTTGTTCTGTTTAAACGACAGCCTCCTGGTCTATGTACAAGGTTTTTTCCCTTAGCTGTTCCAAACTGCTCCACTCACTTCCTGGTTCCCCTCAACTGCTCCGAACCTGCTGCACCGCCTCTCTTCCTGGTCCCTCCTCAGCTATTTCAAACCTGCCACAACAAATACAATAGCTCTTCCTATTTTCCACCTTGGATTTTACCATCTAGGAAAGTTGTTCAACTCTTCAGTGCTTAGTTACTCTCAACAGGGATATGAAACCACTCACCTTTTCCTTAATTGTGCACTGAAACACTGAACCCAATAGAATGTTGGATGAAAACATGTCATTGTTCAAAAATAGTGGTAAGAATCAAATAGTGTATGGGAAGGGGTCTTAACCTCGATTTTTATTCCTAATTTGCTAGTTCCTAAGAATAAAAGTTTAGCATGACACTATCATTGAGTATATTCTTAAATTTAGATTTTAATCTTTCTTGTATTTATTTTCAAACACTATTTCACCCCCCATCCAGTTAGCTTTCATTCAAAAATAAAAACAGTTCTAATTATTAGAATAGTCTGAATAAAAGATAATAAAAACTTATAGCTGTAACTACCACATTGTTGTTGTTGTTGTTTGCCATCAAGTTGGACCCAACTCGTAGCAACCCCTCCTTGGGTTTCCGAGGCAGTATCACTATGGAAGTAGATTGCCCAACCTTCCTTCTGAGGAGTGGAACCACCAGCCTTCTGGTTAGCAGTCAAGTGCCTTAGACTACCACACAGACATACAAAAAAAAACATACCCACTGCCATCAAGTTGATTCCAATTCACAGCAACTCCCAGTGGGTTTCCAAGACTATAAATCTTTACAGAAGTAGATTGCCTCATCTTCCTTCCACAGAGCAGCTGGTGGGTTTCAACCACCCACCTTCTAGTTAGCAGCCAAATGACTTATCCATTGCACCACCATAACTACCACACTCTACTAAAAAGAGCTTTAAGTTTTTCTGTTGGAACTACTAAAACACAAATTCATTTTTTATGTGCCACTTAGCATTTCTGCTTTCTTATCTTTTCTTGGTTCAGTGGAAGACTGCCTGACTCTACACAGGTGAACCCTGATAGCTGTTTGTTTTTGTTACTGATTTTGTGTCCTCATCTCTCCTTTTTTGGCTGTTACTTTCATGTGTTTAATTTTCTAAGGGACTCTCCTGCCTCTCTCCTACCATTCTACTTTATTGTTCCTCATCTGTTGATGCAGAGTTAAAATTTCAGGTCATCAAGAAAAAACAGATACTGAAATGGTGACATTATAACTTAAAGCAGCAGATCTAGCTTAAGGCTAGCACCATTTCCAGGGAAATGAGAGTAAGTAGCTGGTCTTTCTGACAGCTGATTTCCTCCATTTTACTTATTTTTGCATCTTGGCTGAACTGTGGATGGCCAAGGTTGGCAGAAGTATATTCTTAGGTAATTGCAAATAAGAATAATGACTGTAGTCTGAACTGAGTTTAACACTGCCACATATTTACTAGAAAAACAGCTGACACAAAACTAAACAACTAAAAGTAAGAATAAAGCTTCAATGGGAGAAAAAATGATCAGTTATGATAGAGCAAGATAAACTAGATTTCTATTTAAAGTTTGATGTTTTCAAAAATTTGACAACAGAATAAAATGATGGTTTTATGATTTACCTGCAAATCCTGAGCACAATACAGCAATCGCTATCGCACCAAACCCTAATAATGGATTCTGTTCTACCTGTAATATTAATTTTATAAAAGTTATTTTAGTAACTAATGGACAGAATTCACCCAAGAGACTAAACAAATGAAAAGCAAAAGTCTAGCACATATCTACATGGGATTAAACTGATGACAGCAATTTGAAAAGTCAGATAGCTTACGTGGCAATGAGTTTTCAACAGTGGGGAGTAATTTGGAAAAGGTGGGTGAGAACGGTTGCACAACTTGAACTATGTAATCAGTGTCACTGAGTGGCACATGTAGAAACTGTTAAATTTATGTGTTTTCCTGCACATATTTTCAGCAACAACAACAAAAAATTTTAATTCTTCATTACAGTTCTTCTGAAATATGTCCTATAACAGACAGTTATTCTATAGAATATGACAATGTTAACAAAATAAAAAGATTATCACAGAAATTAACAAAAGCATTGGACTTAAAAGTGTGTCTCTCAAATCACAGCCACAGTAAATGCTTAATATAATACTTATTGTCACATGTACCTCCTGTTCCTGAATGCCAGTAAGTATCCCAGCATAGAGTTTTGCATAGTCAGCCTGCTTCGTAACTTTAATTACTGCCACCACTCTAACTCAAGCCCTTTTATGGTTCATTCCTGGAAATGGTGATAGCTTAACTTGTTTTATTAACACATCCTTTGCTAAAAACTCTTCAAAGGTTCCCTACCATCAACAGGCAGAAGTATTGGCTTTTAAGACTGCTTTGTTGAATTTTTGTTACATGTTTATAGTATACCTGCTATGTGCCAGATATATGCTATTACATACGAAATAAATAAAGAGAAAGATGATATATTGGAAGGTTCTTAAGCAGTTCATGTATAGGAGAATCTATCAGGTATACATAATTATAATATTGTAAGAGAAGTGCTAACAGATGCATGTATTTGGTCCCCAAACTCCTGTTTTATCTTTATCTTTTCTTCAACTAACCCTTATTCTCCCCTAAACTAACCATCATGGGCTTTCCTCAGTTGTTCCTGAGAGAGAAACACTATCCTGATAGTATCACTGAAACTCATGAGACTTGTGACTATAACATGACAAGGAAGGACACATCTTGTTCACAATAAGTAAGTCTGATATAAGAAGAAAGCTACTTTATGTTAAACACTTGAGGGAGAAATCTTGATCTAAAATGTTTGCATGAAGACAAAAGGAGAAATAAAAATGTATTACAGTTCTCAACAATGTGGAACAGAACTCAAAATCATTTAAAAATAGAAAAAAGGGACCAGGCTTGCTGGTCTGAAAGAGCCTGATGGAACCACTGAGACTATGGCCCCTAGCTGCCCTTCAGGTCTGGAACTGAACCCACTCCTGTGGCTTCCAGCCAAACAGGATGGAATATGAGCTAAACATTTACATTAGGTAGATACAGTCCTTAGAGAAAACAATCATGGGAGAATAGAAGGGTTGTGTATGTACGGAGAGACAGCACAGGGGACAAGAGTGCATGGAGGGAAGGACATGAGGAGGTAAATATGGGGAGGAAGTGGGAGGGGAGCTGTTGCATTGTGGGAAATTGCAGTCAATGTCAATGAGACAAAGTATATGTGAGCTGCTGTATGGAAAATAAATTTGCTCTGTAAACTTTCACCCAAATCACAATTAAAACAAACAAACAAAAAGTATATTACAGTTCTCAAAATGGACCAACAGCAGCAGCAGCACTTGGAAATTTGATAGAAATAAAAATTACCAGGCCCCACCCCAGACTACTGAATCATAAACTGTGGGGATGGGGCTCAGCAATCTGTTTCAACCAACCTTCCAGTTGTCTGAAGTACACTCAAGTTTGAGAACCAATGCTATACATTAAAACTGATGGGCAGGGACACTTCCCTAATACAGACTGCAAGACTGGAATAGATATGAAAAGAAAAATGGTGAGAGATTTCACCTATCCCAACATCTGATGGGAAGTTCAAGCTGCTAAAAGGAGAATGTCTGATAAACTTTCACTTTGATTTCCTTCTTCACAAGCAAGAGAAACAGGAGGCGGGGCAAGATGGCGGACTAGGCAGAAGGATTGCACAGACCCTCTTCAACAAAGAAAAGGGAAACCAATTAACACAGACACAGAAGATAATCTT